CCCCTCATCCTCCCTCTACCCCCCCAGAAAGGACCACAGTCTAGGTAGCAGAAGCCTAAAGTACTTTCTGTTCTTTCTTCTTAGCAAAATAATTATGTTGTGTTTGGTGAAGCAGAAAGACAGTTTTGCAGAAATTTCCTGTTCTTCTGTGGTTTTAGTCTGAAAACTGAAGCTCCTTATGCGCCATGCAACAAAACCCTGGGTGCACTAATGGGCCTTAATGGTCCTGACCAGCATCTTCTGGGGCCTCCACCACAGCCTGCCCAAGAAACCTATTTCAGCTGAGGCCTGGGTCGTCAGTCCTTGCCTGAGGTACATCACAGGTGTCCTGATGTCCATCTCCATCAGAGCCATGGACCCCACTGATTCAGATTTCCTGGCTTGAGCTTGAACCTGCCTTATTACCATGGTCCTACCTAGTGATCACTGAAGAGTATCTGACTCTTGGTTACCCTCACCAGACCTGATCCTGACTCCAAGCTGTGAATTAATCTCCTGGCTCAGCCTCAGATTTGTGCCATGAGCTTGGCTGATGATCTGGATTCTTGGCCGAAACCTGACTGTCATCTCTGGGCCTTCCTTGCTTGCCTTGCTTGGGGATTGTGGAATGGGGCCCTGGCTGGTGTAGAACCTGTCCTGATGGTCTTATTATTATGCTCTACTCTCTGTCCCTCAGGGAGCATCTAGCCTTCAGTGGTCCCTGACACTGTGCTTGGTTGGGGTCTCTTGTGCCAGAAGATACTGGCTTAGAATTTGTTTGCTGGCAGATTTGGCCTCCAGAGCAGTTCAGAAGTCATCAGTATAGGCAATGGTTTTGTACAGCAGTATTTTTGTGATTCTTGTTCAGCACAGAAGGAAGCCTGAGGCTTTGTTCAGGACCTCAGAACCTTTTCTTATTCCACTGGGTTTGTTTAGGTATTTTGGTCCTGACCTCACCTCTGATTAGAGCAATACTTGCAAAATCAGCTCGGCACATTGACAATGGCCGTATGGTCCACTTTGCCTCTCTGTAGCCTTTGTACCAGCCTTCCTGCCCCTTCTCAGAAATTCTTCTCACAAGGTAGTGCTTTAACAGGTCAACATTTCTGTTGTTAGGAGACACTGTGAGGTCCTGCTGATGTATGCCTGTAGCTAAAGATTCTGCTGGAGCTATTTCCTTGCACAAGGTCTACATTAGTTAAACTCAGACACGCATTGAAAATCAAGTTCAGAAGAATGGGAGTAGTAAACTGCAGGTGGTTCATGAAGAAAATTGGTTTGTATCATGTAACTTGCTACATGCTTCCTTCTAATCTGCAATTAGACTGGAATGCTGTTGCTAACTGGTTTGTGGCTGGCTGAGATCAGCTTCATGTGCTTCCAGTCACCCTGCGCATGGTCCTCTGTGAACTGGGTAGGGTGCCATCCACAGCTTTAGACCATTTTCATCACAGATGGATGTCTTTCTTGCCATATGATGTCACCTGGGTAAATGAGTTATGTTAGTTCTCTGGCCTAACATCATAAGTCATGATCCACTCAGTAACTTTTTCAGAATAATTATACACTACTCAGTGAGTAGGGATGATTTTCCTCCGGCCAGATCGTTGCACGACAATAAGAATTGGTTGAACATGTATCACAGTGAATCCTCATGTCTGTTTCGACTCTGTCCCTATGGAGGCCTGTACTTTTCATGACAGTCTTCTACAAGACTTACAAACCTGTTTACACATTTTCTGTGTGTCGTTGCATTGCCTACTTAACTGTTTGCTGTTACACGGTTCTAAAATGTTTCTGTCCTGTGGTTGTCCAGTCAGATCAATGTCTGAGGAGAAATGCCAAACGGCTGTGGATGAATTAAGCAGAGTTGAGGTTCAAGCTAACTGCTTCCAAAAGTTGGACTGTCCAATAATGTGCTTTTGTTATCCAGCCCCCCAAGAAATAGCCCCAGTCTTACACAGGGATTAGTCTGTGTCTGTGATTCTGGCACGCTTATGCTTCTGCAGCTATAGAAACTGCACTCTTTAGTAAGACCCCTGGTTTCTGTATGAGTAAAATGAGGTGGAGCAGTGGCTTGCAGTGATACTTCTGGGTACCTCAGGTGAGTAGTTCGGAGATTACTGCCCTGAGTCAAGAACCTCAGAAACTGTGAGCTGTGCAGAATAACACATGACTTAATGTGAGCTGTGCGGGTCAGCAGTTGAGAGGTGTTACTGGACCAGCACTTGTCCTTTCAAATGCCTACTGCATTATTGCCATCAATTTTGGTTGATAGCCAGGTTCAACAATACATCAGTGTGATTTGTGCTGAATGCTATTGTGAGAGTATGTGGCTCTACCTATCCGTAGTGTTGTAACAAAAAGCTTGTGTAATAATGCACACATCTTTGTCACATCCAGATCCTTGGTATACTTTCATATCAAATGTCACATTACATTTTCTTTATTACAACAAAGCCTAATGACAAAATAAAATTTCAGAATTGCTTACCTGTAGCAAAAAAAAAAAAAAAAAACAAACCAAAAACTCTCTATAAATCCCATATAGGTATTCGGTTTTTGGTTGGTTGGTTGGTTGGTTTCTCCTTCCAGAGAAGTTTTAGGATCTGGGTTATGTGATACATCCCATCTTCAAGATTCTCTGCTTTACAGCTTTAGTACAAGATAGTTGTTTAGCCCTCCTCTGCTAGTGTCAGCAATTCTAGGAGAATAATATTTATTGCATGGTGATCTCAGCTTCCCTTTCTGTTTTCTAGTGCCTTTATCTTGACCATCTTCTGGTCACAGAGGTTTGCACATCACTTTATGTTGAATTGGATCACAGTGTTCCCACCACCCTTCCAAATCTGACCGATTGAAGTGGTTTCAACTTCATGATTCAGGCCTTTATTAGTGCACTTAAACCACTGTTCTCTTACCACCTTTCCTCTTTCATGTGAGGGTTGGCTGTTTATCAGATGACGGCACTTTTGTTTGTGCCTTTTTATGAAGGACAGAATTTCCTCTGTGCTTACCTCTGGGTTTTTTCTTAATTTTGTATCAAAATTTTATGTCAGCCTTGAAATTAACCCATTATTCTTCACTACCTTCAAGCATCCAGAAATCTGTCTATATTTCACAACCCAAAAGTCTGAAGGACTTTTCTAGGTGCTTGTAGAACATATGTAGTATTAAATAGTAAGCCTTTGCTCTGATTATGTAAGTGTTCATTTGCACATACTATAATATGTTTTGTTATATATTAAAGTGGTCTCTCAGCTTCTTAATGACATGAAGAAAGAACGATCAGCTTGCAGGTGAAATATACTTTGAATGGTCATGGAATGTAAAAATTAAAATTTTGACTTTTTTTCTGAGTTTGGTAATATATTCTAAAATTGGTATTACTGTGGTACATCTTTGTCTTCAAGGTCCACTTCCTTTCAGTCTAATGAGGACAATATCATTTGGAGCAATCAAATAATTGGAAGGTTTCTTTGTTCCTCAAGAGAGGGGGCAGGAGCATCACAAGGTTTTAAAATTATAGGAGACAGAACTAACGTTCCATTGATTTTTATGGTGTGATTTGTGGTTCTTACATCTTGCGTCTGTTATTTCTGGCTGTCTGCAGACTCGGGCAGTCATTTCGTGTCAGTTAAACTCACTTTATATTATCTAGTTTTCAGATAAAGAAGAAAAATTCTCTGAATAGCAGGATGGGGTCTTTTGAAATTTAAGACTTAAAATTGGAAATCCAGTGATACAGATATTATTTACTTGTTATTCATAGAGTAAAGGCACTAACAGAGGCAATTATGCATAACGCTTTCTTTTGCCATTCTTAGAAATGCAAGGGACTAGCATGAATACATCTGTTTGGAACTTTGAGGAAATTCAGATGTGGATGCAAAACTCACAGTTCAATCTCTGAGGCTGCAAAACTGGAATAGCAAATTAGGGAATTTGTATTCAGGGCTCAGCTCTTCTACTTAGATCTATGTCTATTTAAAAGTGATTTATGAATACCTAAAAAAAAATATTTAGGAACTTTGAGGAAAAAGGGAGGTACTGAGTACTTCAAAATTGCAAAGGTAAGAGAGATTTGACACATAAAAGTACATTTCAATCAATTTCTATTTGTTTTCGTCTTTCAGAGTTTCCCTTTCAAACTACTCTGGCTCTCACTCTACGTAAACTCTTCTGCTGATGTTACATCTGCAACAGAAATGCATAGGAACATGGTATCAGCTCACCGCAATTTGCATAGAAGTGCAAATTTGTTACATTTAAAGAAGTTATACAATTAAAATACTTAAACCCATGTGGTCTGGTAATACTGAATTTGAAACAGCTCACAGTTTTTTATAGTCTGACTGTGCTCAAATCAGAGTTCCCTGGTTGATGTGACATGATTATATGTTATGATTACAGGTGTTAACCTTTCAAAATAAAATGTTCAGTTTCTTCTTTTAAATATCAAATGCTTATAGGTATAATACTTGCTGATATTTGTTCACTGACAGTCTCACTTGTTTTCAAACCCCACATATTTAAAGTTGTGGAGTGTTAGATTGATGTTTCTTTTCACTCAAATGTCATATTCATCAACTGTATTGTGCTAGCAGATTGTTAAACAGACAAGGTGACTTGCAGAGTGACAGTGTAGTGATGTGATGTCCCAAACCATTAAAATACAGTAATGACGTGGGTTTTTCCTTTTGTTCAATCAGTTTTTGCAACACAGTGGTTTTTCTGTAAAACACAGGTGAGGAGGTTTCTGAGTAGATGTGTTGCTTGGAAGAAATCCTAGTTAACGAATGAAAAAAGGCTGGAATTCAGTTGTAATTTCCCAGATAGTTGAGAAAAGCCAAAAGACTAAGGAAGAACTAATGTAACAGCATTTTATAATGAGAAAAAAAACACATTATGGTACGACAAAAATGAAATTGCTTGATATATTTTACTTTCTTACATAGTCAGTTTTGCAGGTTCATTTTTTAAGCTATAGTAAAAGGTATTTTATGATTTTACTTGAACAGCCTCCCAAGAACACCACAAAAAAGGAAGGAACTTCTGCTTAACATTATATCAACTCAAATGTCTTTCTCAAATTACCAAACTCTTTTTATTAATGGAAGAAAAAATGGAAGAGGTCTCTGCAGAAATTCTGTTGGTGCCTTCACTTACGGAGAAGAAAAAGAATGTTCAAGGTAATGAACGCTTTCCCTTATTTATTGATTCTACTTTGTGCAAAAGGATAATTTTATATGATTTTCAACATTAATTACCTAATTTATGTCATTGTAATTCATAAACAAGTGTATTACCATATGCACTGAAAATCTTTTTGAAATATGCAGATTTACATTTGAGCACAATGACTTGTGGAAGAGAACTGATGGTTGTATGTAAAGATGTGTTATGCAGTAGTTGTTGATGGGGAATCATGATGAAAAACTGTCAAACGCTAACATAATAACTTCTATTGAATTATCTGTAAAAAATCCTGTGTTTCATATAGGACAAAGCAATACATCAAGTCTGAATTCTTTGAAACTTTGTTTCTGAACTTGTCCTTGAAAGCTTCCTTTTTCAAGAGAGAATAGCACTGACTTGAACAGAAGTTTAACTGATCTTAATGTATTGCAACTAAGTGTTTTAGTATATAGTCCTGCCTTTACCTATTGTTCTCACAAACACTAATATGTACTGTGTTTACTTTCTTGCTTATCCCACTGGCTTCAGTGGATATTTTGTAGAAGTATGCTCTACATCAGAAAGTAAACTGCTTTGCAATCAAGGTTCAAGTTTTCATTTGCTTTAAATTCCAAGCTCACTCTTTTTTTCATCTAATTGCATTCATGTCATATGAGCAGAACCTGAAATCCTGAAAATTCAGGTGAATAACACCTTCCAGGTCACAGTATGCTCATAAATGTTCTTCTGCTCTGCTACTTCTGCCAGTAGAGAGACTCCAGGTCACCAGAGAGCAAGTGGTTTCAAGAGCTTTGATTATATTGCAGGAAAAGATCAGACTAGAAATGAGGCCAGGCTGCTTAGGGAGAGGGGATAGGTGGAGTCAAATATTCGATATCTCTGTAGTCAAGCTGCAGGCTGAGAAGAAAGGTGTTTGGGGAATGTGGTCTCGGAGTACTAAATTGATAAAAAATAAAAAAAGATTAAATAAGAAGAGTTCTGAGGCACACATTTTGTTGATGGATTCTTCATCTGAAATACTGACACTCTGAAATAAAGAAATACAGGTTAACCTATGTATTTTTAGAATATACATCAAAGCTCAAATGAAACTTGCATTCAAGTTCTGGTTTTTCTGTTGGTTTCAATGTATGTCTGCCTCATTTAATATCTCAGTTTTACTAATTTTCAAGAAATGTTAAACTATTATACACTACGGTTTTGCATTTTATAGCCTTGATCGTACGAAGTGTTATTTCTCATAGGGGTAATGTGAAGGATAGGGTGTACATTCAGAAAGAGTAATGTTAAGTGTTCTTTTTATTTGTATATTCTGTGATAAAATGTAAACAACCTGAAAAACTCTTGAATTAGAAATTTGTTTGAGATGATTAGCTATACTCTAAGACGTGATCTCAAATAATTCAGAGTACTTAATGATTTCACCATTAACAATAAATGTTTTCCAGGAAGTGTATTTAGAACTTTATCCTGTAGACATTTCTCCAAGCTTAACTAAATTCAGAACTGTTCCTCAAAAGTGTGTTAAGCCTTCTTCTTTGCAAAATATTCTTTTAGAGTAATCATGTCTATACATGTCAGTTCTTAAAAAGGTAACTCTACTTAATCAAATCTGAATGGGAAATATGACTAGATCTTGTTGGAGGAGGCAGTCTTCTGGGCAGAAGGCCTATTCTAAAGAAAACTTAAAATGACTTTTACCACGAAATACAGGTGAAGGTAAATCTTTTACAGGTGATGCTAGTGAAGTCATCTGACATACCTTTGTTCCTGTTGCTGTTCTGATCAGGTGGTTTTATTCGTAAAACTTTGCTCAGATAGATCAGTTTCTGGATAATATGTGAAGAGAAGACATGGCGAGAGAAATTTTTTTTTTAAGAAGTCTGACTAAAAGAAGGGTTTATTGGTGTTATTTTCACTTCATATTGTCAGAAATCTCAGTTGTAGTGATGAAGTGAAAGATGATTTGATATGGGAGAATGAGAGCTATGTTCCCAGTAGTTCCAGGTTCTGTTAAGTACCAGAAGGGATTTAAGATTTTCTCTGTTAATGTCCTATATTGGGCTGATAATCTTATTTTTTTTTTCACTGATGAATGCTTAGTTTTGATAAGAAGGATTGGTTAGAATCCTTGCTTTATTTTGATCAGAACACATTATATGTCACTAGAAAATACAATGACCGTCTCCTGTACTTATTTAGGAGCCTTCTTAATAGAAATCTTGTCTAATTTAACAAGACCTAGAGTGCAGATCTGTTCAAAGCAGCTTTAAATTAACTCGGCTACCAGTATCAGGTTTGCAGTGCAGCACAGGCTGCAGAACCAGCCTAAGAAGCAGAGTGAATTAGCCCAGAGTGAACGGCGTGCTGCTGTTGCTAGACAGTTACCCGTACTCTCTCTGGCTGGTTTAAAGCCAGGTTGGGTGTACCCAAACTACCCTGCGCTCACTGCAGAGTGGGCCTATCTGAAGTGTCAGTCCTCTGCAAGTAGTCCTGATGGTAAATTAAGGGAAGCTGGCCAATTCATAAAAAGTAGGCTAATATCCAAGTGAGCTAAAGTTTCCCTAGGCATCACATAGATTGGAACCTTGCACTTGCTTCCTTTTCTTTTTTGGTTGCTTTTAGTATTCACGGGAGCCTTTTTATCTATGTAACTCACGCAGAGATGCAATAAAAATAATGTTTTTTCATGTGCTTGTGCCAAGTGTTGCGTTTATGTGTATAGCTGTTTCAATGGCAGTTTTAGTTGATTTTTGTTCAGCATATCCCATAGTACTTCAGTCTTGATATATAGAACATGTGTAAAGTTCCATCAGAAACAAAGTAGTTCTTTGGATGGTTCCTCTTTTTAAATTTTTTTTTTGTCCCAAAGATGGCATCTGAGTTTTATCTAAACCAGACGGTTTCTTGGCCCTCATTTTTCCCTAAACCCAGCGATGACAAAGAGCAATGGCTGCATAAATTGGATGTAAGAAGAACACTTAGGGTTTATCACAGAAGAATCAAAGATTTCATATCTTCTGACAGATTGTTTGTACTCTTAGGGGGTCTTAAGAGGGGTCAAATGGCTTCTAAGAGTTCCTTAGCTAGATGGTTAAGGGATTGTATTAGGGAGGCGTATGTAGTTAAGGGTAAAGAGGCTCCCAGGGTTTGTAAAGCTCATTACACTAGGACTATAGCTGCTTCTTGGGCGGAGAGGTCGAAGGCTTCCACATTGGAAATTTGCAAGGTGGCCACCTGGGCTTCTCTTCATACTTTTTCATTGCATTATCGCTTGGATGTAGTCTCTTCTGCGGATTCTGCTTTTGGTAGGAGGTTGCTTGTGAACCAAAAAAAGAACAGTGAAGAAAAGAAAGACATGTAGTTCACAGTTCTAGCTGGCAACAAGACAAGTTTCTTTGCAGTGTGCACAATGGAATCCTATGAAGACCAATTTAGGCGGTTGAAAATAGATGTTAGAGGGAAGTACTGCCTACCAGTGTTCTCTGATGGTAACCCCATGGCAGACAATAGCACCAAAGGAAACAGTGAACCAGAGTGAACTCTGTAGGGAGATGGATGTAGAGAGTTTTTTTAGGTGATACGGATAGTTCTCTGAGTTCAGTTTGAGAGTTATGTATCCAGCATCTTCTGGAATATATTCTAAATCCTCATTTTCCCAAATTGTTTTTCATAGACTGAAAAAAATTCTATGAATTGCATTTTCCACTCTAACTTCTTTTCACTATTCTCCATCCAGTTCTTTCTGATTTTATTTTTTGACTGTCCTTTACCAGACCTAACTACCAATGAGCACTATGTACATGCCAAGTTTTGCACTTTATTTCAGATTATATTTCTGTTATCTAAACACAACTTAAGAGAAGGTAGTATAAATACACATTTTATCTACTACCACTGTAGTCTTCAAGTTTTCTCTTACATCAAATAAAAGGAGATAATCATGAAAAGTTCTTGGACAAATAAATGATGATGTGGGTTTGTTCCATCCCTGAACTTTAATGTGGCACCTGGACAAGATGGCTACTGTACCTTTCTCAGGAAGAATATCCTTATTTTTCTAACATTTACAAAACAGGTATTCTCAGTGTTGCATAACCACACCTCATTCCACTACAAGCAGTAAGTTTAAGAAAATTAAAGGAGTAACCACCTTCTATTTTTTCTTGACTAGGCATTTAACCCTTTCTTCTGCAGGTATCTTGTTATGCCTACTGTGATGGGATAGTCTACTTCTCAATATACAGTCAGCTGAAATTCCTGAGATGTTCTGGCATACCTAGTACATGCAGCATCACAGGCATTGTTCTCTTTGAAGGAATCTGGAACATTCAGCTGCAGTCAAGGGTTAAGCAGGAGATTTTGGTTTAGAATCCTGCCAAATTGCATTCTCTTCCCATCTCTAAGGTAGATTTCTCTTCCCTCTAGCTTTTCAGAAGCCTCTTGTTGAGACTTTTAAAAAATAAAAAAACATCTAACATACTTTCATCTGTCTCACTTTTTTTTTTCCCATTCCAGTGAGCAAGGTGAACTCTGGACAGATCAGATAATGAGTACCAAGAAAAGCTTTTTCCATTGGAGCTCTTTGAAAACACTGTGGGCAAAGTTGTCAAACCCTTAGGTTTTCAGGCTTTGCCTCAGGGGACTGGGAAGATTTGCAAAGGACTTTCCTTTACAACATAAGAAGAAATCTTTTACTCTTTTTCCATTTCTGGAAAGTGCAATAAAAGGAGTGTGGAGTCAAATTTATGAGGTGCATCCTCTTAATAGACTTTGAAGTTTACAAAGATTCAAGAAAAGAAAGTGTGATTTTTGCTTTGGTCTCAAAGCAGGATGTTCAAGTAGCTTCTTTAAGAAATATATAGCTTCAGCTGGTCAATCCAAAGTGAAGATGAAATTTATACTAGGAGGGAGTCTGATTTCAGATGTACGTTTTCTGTATTTGTGTTATTACAGTTTGCTCAGTATAATACAACAAATAAAAAGTCCATTA